CGAGCTTTTAATGATGTGTGTAGACTTTTGTCCTTATATCTGCTGTTTATAACCACCTATTTTGTGGAACTGCGTTATTTGGACCAGCACCATTACAATTGTTGCTTCTTTGAAGGTCAATAAAAATCATGTGTACTCAATGTTTTGAGTAAATATGTCACATAGTCACACACAGACATCACGATTTTGCATATGATTCTCAACAACGGTGACAACCAAAACAAAAAAGCTTGGGAATCAAGGATTTTTTGTACTTTGAAAACTACCCATCATGCATTGCAGCATGAAGCTTTTTTTATTGTCACCGTTCTTACATACGCAAAATCTTGATGTATGTGTGTGACTATAAGGTAAATTTCCTAATAACATTGTTTAACAAGCTATTTTTTATTCACCTTCTAATAAGTGCTAATTTTAATGGTATACAAATAACAGTTCCACAAGATAGGTGGTTCTAAATGGCAGAAATAAAGACTAAAGTCTAAACACAACATCAAATGCTCACTTTGTGACTTAGCAATGATAATAAACAAGCTGATGCCAGCATCTCACTTTTTCTTGGCTTTCTGTGCAACAACAATAGTGTTATACAATCACACAGTTACTACAACCAAAATAAAATTAAAGTAAGATGAATTGGGACCAAGAGCCCAACTAAAGCAAACACTCATCACCACAATGGTTTTATCAACATCTAAACCTCATCTAAACAATGTAAGGAAATGACATTGATATAAACATGAGTTTTAAACACGATGGCCACATTTGACCTAGTTTTTAAACGTGTACGAAGGTTCGATGAACGTCTATATCGGACGTGCAGAACACGTCAAAAAAACACGTCATAAAAACTTTGATTCTGGCTCCTCAGTGGACGTCTTTTCAGCATCCGACTTTTGTGACAAAGACGTTGAAAAGACATCTTTTGGACATCATGTTGTTTAGTGGGCAGTCTATCTAATGTTGGCCCACCAATAGATTTGAAATATTTTTGTAGTTTTGGCCAGATTACTAGTTTTGAATGAGTGATCTGATAGGTTTTCATTCCAAAATGAACGGGTCCAGATCGGATCCGGATAGGGTCTGCCGCGGATCTAGTCTGGATCCGCAATCCGGATCTGTTCCGGATCCGTTGCGCTGTGCAAGTGGACTCCGTTCCGGACCTGGTTCTTACCTCCGCGGCAGATCCGTTCCGGATCTGTTTGCTATGTGGGTTATTTACTAAATATAAATGTTGAAATATAAGTTTTAATGCGTTTTAGATCGCTTGTAGGCTATTGTTCATTGCTAAATATTTGACATGATATCGTGTCTGTAAATAACGTTAGCTGCTAGTTGTTTTTCTCTAAAAAAAAAGTATGCATTTTTACAAATATTTAAAAGACGTTTTCTCAAAATTAGTTTTTTTGTCATTCTTCAGTAATGTTACCAACATATCATCCTATGTAGCACCATGTACACCAAAGAAATATAGTGAAAATCGTTTATTTATTTTTTTTTGTGATGGAAAAGTGAGATGAAAGCATATAGCTAATGTTAACGTTAGGCCCTATCCTGAAATCCATCTAGTCTTTTTCCATCTTGTGTAAACTAAATGAAAAAAAATAATTTTCCACCTGGCTTTATCTTGTGTTCAGATTTGTTACCGAAAATAGCTATATATGCAAAAATTGCGCATATTTAATGATATAATTCCTATTTTGCATAATTAAACTTATAATACATTGTTTTTATATACTTGTGTAATTACAGTTTTTCTCGATTGTTTACACACATTTTCTGAAAGAATGCCTCATATTTTCAGAACTCTACACACAAATCTAAAAACACTCACACAATTGGCAAAACCCCTCAATTCTCCTGCAAAATGAAACTTTACATTCAAAACAATGTTATTTCTTCTCAAAATGGTATTTTGTTTTCAAATGACACACACAAACCATCATATGAATAGACATTTATAAGAACCAGTTGAACACTGATGGGCTCAATGTAAAACACTATGATCAATGGAAAACACTTCTTCTCCATTCATCATAATGACTTAGGCCTTTTTTGTTCAGTGTTACACTTACTACAGATATTACATACAGTTTTTCTCAATCGATTTGGTACATTTCTCCAAACTCAGGTAACTGCTCTCAAAACAGTTAGCACAGCAAACTAAACACACTCTTATGTTGGCGAAACAGCTAAGTATTCGCTGCACAATGAAACACAGCATTTTATTCTAGTAATGCATTTATTAAAAATCAATATTAACATCAAAACTAAAAGTGTGTTCTCTGTTGATTTGATAACAAATTCAGCTGAAGATACACAAAGAAATAAATGGAAATACATGTTTTTCATTAAGTTCTTTAATGATGAGTCCATGTGTATTACAATGAGTTGTCACCCCACAAAATAAATAAATAAATAAAATAAATTATGCAAATAAATACATAGGTTTAAAAAAATGCATTCATTGAATCAATTTATTTATCATGCCTCTCAATTACATCTGGCCAGAGAATTTCATCAACATCACAGCAAATGTTTTGTTTTTTTTCCTGCGAGTCATGCATCGCAGGAAAAAATGCCTTGAATGCAGTAGCCATCCTAGACACGTTTGTGCCCCAATATCTCCACAGGCCTCTTCCATCACTTGAAGAAGAGTTAGTTGTATTCTTGTTGGTAAGATTTCCTCAATTTGATTCACACCACACCATTTGCTCCTGATCACCCTGCGGAAAGAGGATTTCATTGAGGAGATTTAAAAAATGTAGGAGCCTTGCTGTGTTGAATGGTCAAAAGAGATGCTCTCTTTTGACCATTCAACACAGCAAGGCTCCTACATTTTTAAAAAAGTTGTTTTACACCAGTTGTAGAAATTGTGGCACAGAGAGTGATGTTGCCTCCTCGTTGTCCAGGGACATTGACTGTAGCAAGATGGCCGATCACATTTCTCCCTCTTCTCCTCTTTCTACATCCTCAGTCCTTCTTTCTCTTTCTCCGACATCCTCAGCTTTTCTTTCTCATACATCCTCAGCTCTTCTTTCTCCTACATCCTCAGCTCCTTCTCCATCTCCTCTTCCTCTTCTTTTCCCTCTACCTTGTCCACCACCTCTCGCTCTTACACCTCTTCCTTTTCCACTGCTCATTCCCTTCTTTTTATTGTATTTTCTCCTCATTCATGTTTGTTCTTCTTCTCTTCCCGTTTTGTAGTTGTTATAATTAAGACAGCTGTGTGAACAATTGGGAAATTGGCTTTTTCTGTGTTGAGGGGATTATTAACTCGTCAGATATCAATTCGGGGTTAATTGAGGACATAAGGTGTGCAACTGACTATTTTACAATTCATAGAGTTTTGTTTGTTGAGTTTTGAAAATGGTACAAAAATGTTTGTGATCTTTGTGAAGACCAATGAAAAAGTTGCAAAAGTTTTTCCTAAAATATTAAAGATTCGGTTGGGTGTATGAACTGCTGTGATAACATTAGGGAATTTTGTGCACAGTGTTTTGAGAAAATTATGCTTTTGATTTGTAATTTGTATGAAATGAAGGAGAATTTACTATCTGTTTAGGACCATTACGAAGTGTACAGATCACTGTGTTAAATGTTTTGAGAGCAGTGACCTGAGTTTGGAGAAATGTACCAAATCGATTGAGAAAAACTGTACATAAGTGTGTTGTAAAATATTTGAGAATATTGTTTTTTATACCCAGAACACACAAATACACGGTAACAAATATATTTTATTTTCCCCACAAAATCAATGGGAGATAGATCCCACATTTTGTACACCCCAACCAACACAAAGTTGCACATACAGTGGTCTACATACAAAACAAGAGATTTTCTGCATGAAAATTGTGCCAAATGCAGAGAATTGTGTGTAGTGTTTTGAAAAACGTGTGTTTCAGAACTGAAATTTGAGTGTAAAGCAGGAATTGTGCTTGTAGTTCAGAAGAATTGGTTCAGGGGGTTGGCGAATGAGTTACATGTTGTCGTCATTGTGTCTCAAGTACCAGAAAATGTGTGTAAACAATCGAGAAAAACTGTAATCAACTGAGGAAGGTTCATGGTGATCATGGTAATAGATTCATTTATTTTTAAAATTTTACCCTATTCACCTTTAGTGTCTCGCATTAATGTAGACATTACATTTTTTTTCTCAGAGATATATATAATTATGCTTTCTTGTCTGTTCTACAGATTATTTGCTGTTTTACATCTTATCTCCATTTCTCTGTCTCTATTTCAGTTTTATATAGAAAACAAAGGCACTTTTAAGAGCCACTCTTTCATTCTCTCTCTCACTGTTTCTCTCTAGTCTCTCTCTCTCTCTCTCTCTCTCTCTCTCTCTCTCTCACTCACACACACACACACACGCACGCACGCACGCATACACACTCATCTTCATATTTGTACTGTTTGTCTATTGTCTGTATTTTTGTATTGTATCTGTGCACCATGTCGGAAAACCACCCAGCAGCCTTTGAAGATCCTAATGAGGCCAGGGTGAGATATTTTGTAACTTTACACCCATATCTATGTCAAATAACTATTGGTACTACATATTCTTTGTTTGTTGTAGTTGCTGTTGAGGTATGATGTTCTAGACATTTACGTAATGTATTATGAAGTAGTGTAGTATTTTATATCTTGTAGTTTTTGAGTTGTGTTTTTTATTGTTACTTACTAAAAAAGCGTCCATCAAACATAACCATAAGTTAGTCATCAAAGTCTGATATTTCGATGTTTGGAGTAAATCCAGTAACTTACTAAAACTTTATTATAACTGAACCTGGTTGAAGTCATGTTTGTGACAGACATTATGCCTTCTGTCTGGTTTACAGCATCAAAACATGTCAAAAGGTGGAGGGCTCAAGAAGACCTGCCCAGCATGCAAAATAACATTTTTAATAGCTTCAAGAAGTGCCCTATGTGCAAGGCCCCACAGCCTAAAAATGTGCGCCTAAACAAAAAGATTGAAAAATTCGAGCAAAAAAAAAAAAAAAAAAAAATGGGTTGCCAACACAAAAAAAATCAGGTGACCTCACATTTGTGGGATGATGCCATCATTTTGGTAAGTAACTTTTCTTGTTCTATGTCACCATAGTCCAGTTATTTTGGGGTACTGGGGAGACTTTCTGGTTTTGACTGAGACAAGATAATGCATTAACATATTTATGGAAGCTATTTATTCAACAGATTTACCATCTTAAAGATCAAAATCTTGAATACAGCTATTCCTTGTGATGTTTCAAAAGTCTGCTTCTACGCTAAATATTTCTTGTTGACCTGCATTTGTGTCCCAGCTTTGTGCTATTGTGATAAGCAGACAAAGATCCATACACAGCCACACCAAAGCACTTGTAATTGAAATGTTTTAAATGTTTTTTGTTTTGTTTTTATCTTTAGATAGAGAAGCTGCACGCAGTTGGCTGGAAGACTTTGCTCCTGGTGGAATATCCACACAAGAAGGCCAAAATGATCTTACCTAAAGATGAATTGTTGAGCAAAGGTGCACAGAGATGTGTGCAAAACATTTATGAAATTTTTAAAATGATGGTTGAAGGTAAAACTATATTTATATACTATAAACTTTATATATGTATTTTTTTATATATTATTATTTAGGGGTAGATGGTGTTGAGCAATCAATGATTGTAAATAGTAAGGGCAACTGTGCTTCTCTGTGTATCTGAGGCTTGTGGATTTTGTATTATTTTGCCTTAGCTTTCACATTTTGACCTAATTGCGTAAAGTACATTTTTTGTGTGTGTTTGTATTCTTCTAGTGAATCCAGAACAGGCAACAGACAGTAGCCATGAGCCTGAGGAGGCTACTGTCATTCTAAATGTTGAAATAACGAACCCATTAAGAGAACAAGGTGCGTTTGGCTTGATTTGGTGCCTTCACTTTATTGTGTTCTCTGAGATTTTTGTGAAAATATACATTAGCAGCAGATGTCTTTTCACTACACCTATTTAAACTTTTATAAGACACAATGTCACCATGTCACTCATCCTCAGATTCAGTAGCCACAATATCCGTGGACCAGGGGACTTTTGTTATTTATTTTGGATATTTATGTTCTTTATCTTTGAAAGAATATGCTTAACCCTCAATCGGTCCCTGGGGTATATATGACCCCAATCGACTTTTCCTTGATAAAAAAAAATGGTTTCCTTTATCTGAGTGGAATAAGATTTTGTGACTTTTCCTACAAATCTATCTATACACACACAAAAAAACTGGGCTTGATTCGGTTGTTCTGAAGGTGTGTAAAAAAAAATGTTTACAAATCTGGTCTTCGGGGTCAATATGACCCCACATTGAAATGAATGGGAAATGTGAAAAAAAATAAATATTTTGTATTCATTTGTCCAAAAAAATATATAAATCCATCATAAATCAGAAAATTTCCACACAGAAATAAAGGCCTACTACTAGAGCATAAATGTGATGTAGAAAAAACATGCTCACTCACACACACACACACACACAAAAACACACGCAAACAAACATGTATTAGTGTACTGCCACAGAGAGCATTTTTTAGAACTCACAAATGAAATCAGTCACAAATGCAGAACAAAGATATTAAAGTGTGAGACCTAATACACACACACACACACTCACACACTGATTATAGTTTTACAATTTGTTTTACATGTTTTTTGTAGCTTGTTATTGCTTTTTAAGTTCAAAATTTTATTGGAAAAAATGATAGATTAGATGTTCACTCATATTGCTTTTGTTTTCATATTATTTATTTTATTTATTTTGCATTCTAAAGTTAATTATTTATTTTTACACTTTGTTCAATAAAATCAACAATGTGCAACTAAAATCTGACTCCAAGTCTTGTCCTTTAGGTGTGTCTTATGTGGCATTTAGCTGTCCTTTTTCTGTGGCACTTTGTAAAAACAGACGTTTCAAAATGCATCAAAAACTACAACAATTATACTATTTAAAAAATTTATAATTTTAAATGTCCTTTCTTATGTTTATATATATATAAAAATTCATAAAATGTATTTCAAAAGTTGTGACAGAAGTAGTAGGCCACATGCAGTAAAATGAATGGCTCTCTATTGCCTCTGCTGGTCAAAACTATTTATTTCTAAAACTGTAAAGAATTTAGTTTTATCTCTAACCAGTAGATGGCATAATTCTACACATAGCACCTAGCTCAATATCCAGAAGCAATTTAAATTAAATTTTGATCATTATTAAAGTGATTTTTTTCATAAAAAATTAAGATTTCATTTGCAAGTTTATGGTGTGGTTGAGGAATTGGGTTGTAAATAGGCACAAAAGTACTTCTTATCTCCCAAAACACAGCATTAATGAATAGATGAGAAGTCAACAAAAAAAAAATATATTATTTGTATTATTAAAAATGTATAATTTTTGTACAATTTCTCTATCAATTGTTGGGGTCATATTGACCCCAAAGACCAGATTTGTAAACAGAAACAAAGACCTTTTGAGGGTTAAGCTTAAAATATCTGTGCTGTACTGAACCAAGTCTATTTGTTTATATAGGGAAAAGGCAAAATCAGAGGAAGAGAGGTCTGAAATCTGACATCTGATATTCTGTCATCTTTTACATTATCAACACAAAGTATTAATTTAATTGTTGTGCGGGTATTCCTGATATTATTGTTTTAATTAATTTCCATATGGATTGCATGGATAGTGTTCATACTGTAGATAAGGAGGTTTTCAAGTATTAAGTATTTTCCAAGGCTACATTTGCATTTGGATTATTATTTATCATTTCTCTTATGTTGTACAGTGAGAACAAAAGATTGCCCCCACAACAATCGGGATGTGCACCCATACCGTGGGATAATACGGACAAGCAGAGAAAGGTAGGATTGGAGCGGTAGTTAGATTGTGTTATCTGATATGATGTCTTCCCTACAGAAAATACATCTTGGCTAGCATGTTTTGAAACTGATTTGTAGGATATGCATAGTAAAACTATGGGTTGTAAGCTCATTTATGGCTATTTCGGGGAGGAGCATGTGCGCACAATCTTCCAGTGACTGGGATTTATAAAGTGAATTTTGCGCAGGTTCTGGTGTGCGAACGGTTTTATAAGTCTAAAAAAAAATTTGCGAATGCCATTTTTGCCTTTCGGTCACACATACACTTTTATTAAGGATCCTACGCACAGAGTTTTATAAATGAGGCCCCACGAACCTATCCATTGGGATATTTGTTTTCTGCTTTAACCAATCGCTACTTGGTCGTATGTTACATGCTGGAACGCACCATTTCTCTTTCAGCCCACTCTAACTTAGACCATCCAGCAACCAGCATAATTTTTCTGCAAGGTTTAAACTACAGCTAACTTCATATAAAACTGTGAAAAGGTATTTGATTAAAAATTTAGAAGTTGTCCTGCATCACGGGGTGTGAGTAACTGAGTGCTAGTGCTCCTTCTTGGGCACACTACTCAAGGCCCAGGTACCCAAGCAACATGCCACTGTTCAAGTTATGTTCCATGTTCAAGTTACTTAGCATCATAAATTAAACTAAAGTGTACCTTAATAGGTGGGACCTGCAACATCTGCTTAGATGTCAGCAAAGCTAACCACTGTATCTGTTATAATGCAGTGCAGGAAGCAGGATCCAAATGCAGCAGTTTTTATTAAATAAACTTGAACAATGACAAATACTAAGAATAAACTTGAACTATGACAAAGGCTAAGACTCCAGAACAAAACCGACAACATGCAACAGAACAACATCCAGAAAACACAAAGACTGAGCTAGACGCATGGCTTAAATACAAAGGCAAACAAGCTAAACAAGATAATGAGGGGAGTGGCTAATCAGAGACACCTAGGAAGACTAATAGACATAACGGGAACTGCTAAACATGGAAAAAGATGGGAACACAGACAGGAAACATGACAGAACAAATAGTGCCAATGGGCTTTATGCCCAGCTGCACTACTTCCTGAACTTCAGCCAGTTCCTTGTTTCCTGTCTGCCATTATTGGCCAAATTGATTAATTCAGGTGTGCCTGACCTCAGTAGTCATGGCAACAATAATCAGACACCTGAATTAATCAAGTTTGCCCAATAATGGCAGACAGGAAACAAGGGGCTGGCTGAAGTTCAGGAAGTAGTGCAGCTGGGCATAAAGCCAATTGTATCACCAGGGAATTCTTAGTTGTCCCTTTGATAAAATTTGCCCTTGATCCATGTCTCTAAATATTTATTTTTAAATGCCTAGAAATATCCTTTAAAGGTCCTTATACAGTATTTGATGTGGAGAAAGGAACCCTCTTCCCCGTTAACTACATGATGTTTGCTATCCTGACAGACTATTGCTTGCAAGTAATCAGAATATGGACCTGATTGTTGTTCTGGGAAATATTCTGGTTCCTATTATCTTTACCGGTAGTCGTGGAAGACTGGAAAAAACTGGTTAAAGAATGACCAGTGCTCAGTAAGACAAAGGACCTCGCTGGAAATGAACATTTGACCTCCCCCTCATACAGTCTCACCTAATCTGCATTTCATTCTCTCTCAAGAAACATATGGTTATAATGTGAATGATTATCATTGAGTATTATGTTTAGTATCATTTAAAATGTCTCAGAGTGAATGGTACAAATGTCTCATTTCCAAATAAGTACAACAAAATGTAATAAGGTTTTTAGAAGTTTTTAGAAAACTGGCACATAAAGGAAGATGGCAAAGGTTTTATTAGATAAATTATTGAAAAGCACACTAAATAGGGTCAGAAATTGTTTGTGTAGGGAAACCCTTTTATTGGTGCATTCTCTATAACAATCATGCATTAGAGAACTCGAAAACTAGATGTCACATCTCGAGGGGTTTTCCTCTTACAATAATTACTGAAATTATTTGAAAACTGATCAACTAATGTCAATCCAAATCAATCCATTTAAGTTTACATTGTAAATCTGTATGCAATATTTCATGTTACACATTTTCATGTTTTTTTTTTTTTTTTTTTTGTCTTCCACAGGGGAAGACCGAACTCCTGTACGACTGGATGCCCTGCGATCTATGGTATGGTACCCTTGCTTGGACAGTTCACCGGCTACGTTCACACTGCAGGGGCTTAACCCTTTCACGCGTACGATCACACCTGTTTACAGTCTATGGTCCTGTCATATCACAACTAATGAGTGTTTTCAAAAACATAATGTTTATTTTAGGTTTCAGACATTTAAATACACATATGTACTAGCAAAACAATGATTTTGAGTTTGTAAAATACACACTGATGTCTATGGAAGCGGCAATAATAATCCTTTCAATTATAATAAGGCGATACACATTGTGTAAGTAGCTTTTCATTCTTCCCCCAGTTCACCGGCCACTTACTTTCATGTATTTCGTGAGAAGTGGAGGAATTGACGCGTTGTAAATCCAACAGATCCGATTCTCTGAACTGTAAAACAAACGAAAATGGTGTCGCCCATTGTGCACACAGCTCAACTAATGCGACCGTTATAAAGATGTTTAAACAACAAAACCCATCCACTTGTACGTATTTGACAATCGGAATATCAGTGTTTCATGCTATAGCTAATACATTTGTGAATATTTAAAAATAAAAAAGGAAAATTGACATAAAAGACGATCATCGTTCATTTAGCGCTGTGTTGTGGTTGCGCTGTGTCACGTGATAAGCAATGACGCGTCACCATGGAAACATTGAAGTGACAAGTTCTAAATAACGGTCGCCTTGAAAAACTCACGCTGGGGGGGTCAATTAGAATATTTTAAACTTACGTGTGAAAGGGACTCAATTGACCTTATGCCCAGCTGCACTACTTCCTGAACTTCAGCCAGCTCCTTGTTTCCTGTCTGCCATTATTGGCCAAACTTGATTAATTCAGGTGTGCCTGATTGTTGTTGCCATGACTACTGAGGTCAAGCACACCTGAATTAATCAATTTGTCGAATAATGGCAGACAGGAAACAAGGAGCTGGCTGAAGTTCAGGAAGTAGTGCAGCTGGGCATAAAGTCAATTCCGATTAAAAAACAAAAAAAAATTTGCAAGGCCGTTCACATTTCCAATTAATTGCGACCTTTTGTGATCTCCTGTGTGAACGTGAAATGACCCAGAAGTGACCCGCATTCACAGAAGAGTACTTGTTTGCAGAAGTTCTGATAAGAGCCACGGATACATGTGACCGGGCCGTTCAGTCTGAAGTCGCATTTCAAAAGATTGGATACATATCGGATTTGGAACACATACCCTATTGGCCTGGGTCGCATTTGAAAAGATCGGATCTGTGTCGTTCAGACTGTCATGAAAAGATTAGATACAGGTCACATAGGGTCAAAAAAATCCGAATTGGTCCCTTTCAGCCTGCAGTGTGAACGTAGCCTTAGTATACCACATTTTTTTACATTGCAATGCAAAACACAAACCTTCCAGCAACTTCAAAGACAACACGTTGCATGGCAAGCAACTAAACCAGTTGGTTAGAACCACTGTGTTTGACAGATGACATTGAGCCAAAAAACAAAAAAAAGGAAAATAAACATGTCTCAAGTGTATTTTGACATTGTAGATTCAAAGGGAACTGCTGAATAAGAACAATTGACTTATAGCCAATTGATAGTTGTAATGGATATACCTAAAGTTGTGTTTGCCACACCCTTGACTATTCATTACCAACCCTACTATCACTGAGTGCTACATTGGCTTTAAGCGAGGCCAGACAAGATTGCATTATAAAAATTCAGTTTTTAAGTCTTTGCAATCTACTTTATACTACTGTATACTCTATGTACAACTATCTTAATTTGATTAGGTTATGAATTAACAGTTGTAAATGGTGTTGTCTAGAATTTTTTCTTTGTTTATTAAAAAACTCTAGGTGCTATTTTCAAGCCTATGGTTAATCTTAAAGGACAACGCTGGCGCAAAATGAAGTTTTGGTCTACTTACACATTTGGTACATAGTCACCGTTGTCTGAGATTTGTTTTCATGATTATCGAATGTAAAGAGTTTTATCTCTAAAAATTGTTTAGCTTATAATGCTAGTATATGGGGCATATGGAGTAATGAAAATAAAAATCACTAGTTTATACCACTAACAAGGTTCAAAATAGCCCCACACTAACACAGTAACATAATGAGGGTCCATACATGCAAAACGAAGCATTGAGAACGTAAGTGTACAGAGCGTTTAATAAGAAGAAACTTTGTAAAGACAGTCCACTTCGTGTATACAGGCAGCAGCCATCTTTGGAAAACAGTCTTGAGCAATCGAACCATGAACGCCGAGCCAAGTTTTGGCTCGTTCACATCTCACCAGCGCATTTGGCTCGGTGTTCGTGGTTCGATTGTCAAGACTGTTTTCCAAAGATGGCTCCTGTCTGTATACACAAAGTGAACTGTCTTTATAAAGTATCTTCTTATTCTCTTCTATTCTCAAATTCTAGTTCTCAATGCTTCGTTTTGCATATAGGGACCCTGATTATGCTACCGTGTTAGTGTGGGGCTATTTTGAGCCTTGTAAGTGGTATTAACTAGTGTTTTTTTTTTTTTTTTCCATTATTCTAAGCCCTATAAACTAGCATTATAAGCTAAACAGTTTTTAGAGATATAACTCTTTACATTTGCTAATCATGAAAACAAATCTCAGGGAACGGTTGACTATGTACCAATGTGTAATTAATTTTGCGCCGGAGTTGTCCTTTAACATCACTCCTATTGAATACCTTGTCTTTCATCTTAATCTTTTACAAGGAAACATTCACAAATGAGGGGAATCATTGTTGTGTCCATGAAGATGTGAAAAACATAGGCATAAATCTAGCTTACACATTCATCCAAATTTGTATACGCCTGTTTGAACAAAGCTAATTTGGGTGGGTTTCTATGGGAGATGGGCCCCATACAATGCCACGTGTTTTTCCAGCCCTGACGAGAACGTTGCTCTCCTCGCTTGTGAAGTGCTCCTTGCACACGCATGGAAAATCCTCCAATATAATAATTGGAAAGCGCACCTGCTCCTAAAGGGATAGTGAGATGTCGCTCTGATCTGGTTTATTTCATGTTAGGCCCAAACCACACCTATGAATAATGTAGCTACTTCATTTTAGATTTGCGTTGCACCCAAGAATCCCGTTGGTAGGCTATAATAGCAACAGCACCCAAGGTCCGGCCACAAAGTTACTGTTTCATGTTTTTATGTTTTAGATGTTAAAATAGGGCCCTTTCTTTGTCTCTCAAACATGGTTCAAGTTATGTATGAAATGGGGCTCAGCTCAATAACAGTCAGTCACTGCTGAATTGCAATGACTTTAAACAACAAAGCAAAATGCTCCAGGTCAAGGGATGAAATGCCATACAGTAATCTAAGACAAAGCAGGCTGTTGTATACAATGAATCTTCATATTAATTCCTAACTATAATACACTACAGTACGTGCTAGAGGTGAATACACTCTAGATGTGATTAATATGGATTCTGTCCTCCATTCAATTTTTTTCAATTGGGATGTTTGCTAATGCCAGCCATAATGGGCAGAATGAATCTGCCTTATGCACAGTGTATCCTCTACAGGTTTTTTTCATCCTTCCTCCAGTGTCCTCACTGTCCCATCAGTTTCCTCATCATTGTGGTAGTTATACTGTAACTGGCTAGTCTATTTCTAAGTCACAGGTATAATGTCCTTTTCCCTCTTGATGTTCAGCAGACCATCTTTATAGAAATCACTAACTAGACTTAGACAAATGTACACTTTAACATGGGTAGAGTAAATGCTGACAAAATACTGAATTTGTCCTTGCATGATAGTGATTAAGCTGATGTGTATCCAGGGGAGGGCTGGGTCAAAATAATATACAATGAAATAAGACTTAATTAGGGGGCAGGAGGATTACAACAAGAAGACTTTTGTGTCAATCCTTTCTAATTTCCATCAAGTGTGACTGTCTGTCATTTCTTCCATACCAGGTAGTGATGAATAAGATATATGGCATTATAGAAGAGTTTGTTTACACATAACATGTCCAGATCATGTCTGATTAATGTGTTGTTATGTTAATGTTAATATGATGTTAATATCCCATTTCAATTAATTCATTATGCCTTATGTGAGACGCCATAAATGTAAAAATATCAGGGCTCAACTAATAACTGGAATTTGGCCTCCTCCTCAGGATGAAATTTGCTGGTGGTACTTCATTCTACATCCCAATTATCCTCCATGGAGCACTGAGACTCATACTATATCTGATGGGACTGATGATGGGGGTATCATCTGCAAACTTGATCTTGGTCGTTTCTCCTCCAGCAGTAGGAGCAATAACTGTACTGTACTGCTGCTGGTGATTTGTACTACTGATCCTCGTGACCCGTCCTGCGCCACCCATGAACCCATGTCTTGTGCCACCTGTCCTATTCACTGTGCCACTGACTTGCTGTCCCATGCACTGTCCTGCACAACTCATTTTGTTTTGTGACACTTGCCTACTCTCACATGGCACTCACTCAATATCTCATCTGATGTGCCTACTGTCCGTAGTCATTAGTCACTGTCCAATGGGTTAGGTTTAGGATTAGGTTAAGGGTTAGGTTTTTAACATTTTGTAAGTCTCACGGGACATAGACTAGTGGTACAGGACAATAAGTGAGTGGGGCAGGACAGTGTACAGGACAGACGAGTGGCACGAGCCACCAGCAGCAGTAGAATACAGTGTTTGCTCCTACTACCTCTCTACAGCCTTGTGGTGGCCTATCTGTATTGATGTTTCCATATTGTTAAAATTGACCAATTTAATTATATGAAAGTATCAAGTGACACAGATCTATATTGCTGTTCATGACTTGCAGGCTGGAGAACAGATTGAGGATCTATCATGTTATATGCTAAGCTATGCACGCATAGGTGTTAATTGACTCCAAATGTAGCAGAGTAAACAGCCAGGTTGATGGCATTTTCCACAGCCTGGTAAGCAAACTGATAGGGATCCATGATTGATGATACAATAGTATGTAGCATGAATGCAGACCAAAAAGTCATTTTTTTTTTTTTATCCAAATCAAGTAAAATCAGAATCAAGTCAATAAATTTTTTTTTATCCAAA